CACCCCCCCCCCCCCCCCCCATACCTGGATCCAGAGCTGCTTTCTCAACACCCGAGAAGCAGTTGGCTCCCGATCATGTGCAAAGACTCTACGGTTCGTTCATGCAGGGCTTTAACCCTAAACCCTAAACCCTAAACCGTGACTCTGGATTCGGAATCCCCAGGGCAACTTGAAGAAAAGGGTTCTTTCGTGTCAACTCGCGTCTTGAACCGATTTTTGTTGCGAGGCTTTTGTTATCCTTTCTGATCGTGAAACTTTTACCCTAAACCCCAAACCCTAAGCCCTAAACCCTAATTGGTTGGGAAATGTGGTTGTATCCTGCATAACCGGGGCGAAGAGTCGTGCGTTTGCAAACTTAGGTTTTTCAGGGCAGCTTCGGGCCGACTGTTTAGACCCAGAGAGCCCAATTGCCTTCAACTAAGGAATATACCTTAAATCATAATATGGGGCTACCTATTATGATTTAAGGTATTTAGCTTGTTCGAGGGGTATTGGGCTCTCTGGGGAGGCATCTTGCATATGCTTTGCGGTGCTCTTTGCCCGGACACGCTATAGCCCTAGTCTGCCCAGGAATTCTGAGAGGGTGGTGAGCGGAGTGACGGAGTTACCTTGACAGAACCCCAACTGATGCGAGGTTCCTAAAAACCTCCAAAACCCCAAACGTAACCCATCGGGTTTAGGGTGTAGGTCCCTTTGCCAAAACACCCCTAAACCCTAATCCTTACAAAAAACTCAAACCCTTAACCCTAAACCCAAAAAAAACCCTAAACCCTAAACCTTACAAAAAACCCCAAACCCTGAAGTTCAGTTTTAGGGGTTTCGGGTGAAGGGGCTCTAAATCCGGAACGGCCCCAAACCCCGAGCCGATTGGCATAGGGGCCTAAATACTTACCTATTTGTTTTTTGGCGGGGAGGTCCTTACTATACTTATAGAATAATATACACCAAAACCTACTATTTTGGGGGATCCTTATTATTACTATTATTCTACTAGAATATACCCCCAAAACCCTCTTCTAAGTGCTAAGGCCCCGACATTAGGATGTACTGGAAGCAGTAAGCCGATGGTTTTCCTTTTAAAGCCTACAGAACATACAGGTTTGTCTATTCGAATGTCAGAAAATAAAGGTTTTTGGATCCCCAGGTACAACCTAGGGTAGAACCCTAAACCCTAAACCCTAAGCCCTTTTTCCTATTAAAATCAAGAGAGCGCCCTTGCAAGGAAATCGGCCGAGAAGCTCCAATGGGCTCGCGGCAAGCTCAGGCGGGCTAAAAGGGTTTAGGGTTTAGGGTTCTACCCTAGGTTGTACCTGGGGATCCCAAAACCTACAGTTTTATGGGTTAGAGGGGTGATAACCTACTATTTTGTAGGGTTTGGGGTCACAAGTAGGGTTTAGGATGTAGGGTTTAGGTTTTGCGGGCCTTACCTGGACCTTGAACAGCCTACCTTTTGTGGGGAATTAGACCAAGAAACCATAAGAAGGAACCCTGAAAAGGTAGGCCTGATGGGTGTTTTGGAGTAACCTGAATTCGGTTGTGATTGACACCGCGCTAGATCCTTGTAGGCTGTGGCTAGTCCTACCGTGTCAAGGCACTTCCTACCAAGTCAAACATGGTTGTTGCTTCCTTTTGTCGTGTCGTCATTGTCGAGGTCAGTATTGAATTACTAACGCTGTTGCGACTGCACTTACTCATACCTTTACATACTATTGCCACTGTCCCTATTCGTCGTCATTGCTGTCGTAGAGGTGGTACTCGTAGTGGTGGTAGCAGTAGTAGCAGTAATAATAATAGTAATAAGTAGGTGTAGTAGTAGTAGTAGTAGTAGTAGTAGTCGTCGTAATAATAATAATAATAACAATAATAATTTTAATAATAGTATTTTTCAGTATTACCGGCAGTAGCAGCAGCGGCAGCTGCAGCCGCAGCAGCAGCAGCAGCAGCAGCAGCAGCAGCAGCAGCAGCAGCAGCAGCAGCAGCAGCGATCGTAGCATAAGTTGTAGTCGGAGTCATAGTCACTAGTCGTAGTCGTGGTCGTCGGCGTCGCCAT